GTGTGTGTGTGTGTGTGTGTGTGTGTGTGTGTGTGTGTGTGTGTGTGCATGCACATGTGCACATTTGTGTGTGTGCTTGCACATGTGTGTGTGTGCTAGTGCAATGTATATGTGGTAATATAATTTGCAGGTGGAGCCCAGAAGATATCGTTGGGTGACATCGCTCAGGCCCTGTCTACCTTTTTACTTTGAGACAGGGTCTCTAATCAATCTGTAGCTATACACATAGGCTAGGCTAATTACATATCAATCTTGTCTTTTTCTCTCCAGAATTTTTGAATGAAATGTATGCTCTGGTAATGTGGAAACATGAATGGGTAGCCTGTATATTGTAGTTCTGTTGAACAAGTCCATATTGGGTTTCACCGTCTAAGCTGATGAAGACAAATGACCAGAACTGGAACATAAATCCATTACACCACTCCAGGTGCACCTCTCTCTGTATATATTTTTAAAATAGGCTCTGAAGTTGAATCCAGGGGAATCATTTTTGTATATATGCTCTCTCCTCAGTCCAATATTATAACCTCAAATAAAGTTATAAACACATAAGAACTACAATATTAGGATTTTCTTCCTGTAACGATTATAAGAGTATCTAAATGGCCTCTACATCTTAATAAAAATGTTTGAAATTATAAACATCACACCAAAAAAGTACTGCCTAAATATTTTCTTTTCTTTTATGTGTATATAAAAATAAATAAGTGATATGTTATTCACTAATATAATGTTAAATTTTAAATATACAAGAAACTAAAGTTTGAGTTTTACTGTATTGTTAAAAAATTAAATATTAGATAATGTTAAGTACTAATGAGATGGTTTTATAAGTGTGAAAAATTTTTGAAGACTATAAACCATGTTTATTTCACATGATAGACAAAATACTAGGAAATTTGAGTATATTGGATATTCAAAGTCAACCCTTCATATTTCAGGCTCTCAAAAGTCTTAATTGCTCTTAAGAACCATTTATACACACTAGTTCAAAAACAGTATTGATCTCTTAGAACCAGTCAAATAATCCAACAAAAATAATTGTACTCATATTGCTTTTATATCAGCAGATTCTAGAACATAAAAAATTCATTTTTGACCTTTGTTAAAATCACATTCATTTCAGCATTATAATTCATCCATATATTAAGAGTAAATGGTTTCTGGTGATACAGTGAAAAGTCAATTGGATTAAAGAGAGGATTCTTCTATGAATTCTGTTCCACACACGATGAATAAACACCACACAATACTAAACTTTGAAGCACAAGTTTTGTTCTCATTTTGACTAATCATTTATACCTCAAGAGATGCCTCTCAGCATTTATCAATTCTTTGATACAGAAATTAGTTTCATAATTTTACTAAGTCTTTCACTGTCTTAGTTAGGGTTTTACTGTTATGAAGAGACACATGACCATACAATTCTTATTTAAAAAAACATTTAATTGGGGCTAGCTTATAGTTCCGAGGTTTAGTCCATTATCATCATGGTGGGTGGCATGCAAACAAATGTGGTGTTGGAGAAGGAGCTCTAAATCTTGGGAGTTCTACATCTTGATCAGCAGTGAACAAGAAGCAAATTGCTCCACACTAGGTAGTATCCTGAGCATAGGAGACCCAAAAGCCCACCCCCACAGTTAGAAGCTTCCTCTAAGAAGGCCACACCTACTCCAACAAACATCCTCCCAGTGCTAATCCCTATGTGGGGGCATTTTCTTTCAAACCACCATAGTAACCAATCATGAAACAACTCCGTGTGTGTAGAAACTAATGGTACTCAATGGATAGCCTTGTGGAAGGTTTATTTCAGTGATACAATAACACTGAATAAAGGGAAGCCCTAGGTTACACTGTACTACCTGTATGTTAGCATGAGTTTTATAACATACAATCGTTATATGAAAAAGAACAGTATACCAATAATAATTCTATATACAATGACAATAAACATTCTAATGGACACTCAAGCATATACCACTTTACTTTTAAAACAAACTGAAAAAAGCATTTGACCTCAAGTGCACTATCCAAAGTTCTATTTTTTTCATCCAGACTATTGTAGATTGTCCTTCTTTAAAAAAATATTAATAATATACAAACATTCATAGTGCAAACAGTTCATGATATTTCTAAAAACCCTAACCTTTGTAGACAACGAGGAAATTTCCCTATTTATAGTGCATGTAGACTCTCAAATTGGAGTGTTTAGGACAATAAATCCACACCTAATCCTGACTTTTGTTTTGTAATGATTGTGCAATTCTTTACTGTTACTAAGGAATATATACCTAGATAAACACTGTAGATTTCTCCATGTAAAAAAATGATGAACTACAATCATGTGATTTAAAATCCCTACTTCATACTAACCAAAAGATTAAAATACAACTCCCGTAAAAGACACAATGCATGGCAATTGCTCCAAGAATATTCCAACCTTTAGCCTTTCAGTAGCAATTAACAATGGAACAACAACACTTCAAATAATGCATTTAAAGATGAATGAGATCTTAGCATGGAGATGTACAACTCCAATCTTAGCTCTAAAGAGACTGAAGAGGAGCTCTACTTCGTGGGTAACAAAGTAAGACAAACTAAGGCAACCAACCAGGTAAGATGAACGAACCAGCTCACCTCATAAGGGTATGACTGTATAGTATAAACTATTTGCAAACTTTAAAATAATGAAAGAAATGCTTTGGGAGTATGAATTTTTTTTTACCTTGAAAGGCAGTGGATCCTCTGTGAGAGGGCTGATGGGAAGCGATGTGGTACTGCTGGAAGGGCTCACATCACTCTGCAAAGAAAGTTAAAGATGCCAGGCTTGAAACCGTTTTCAAAATTCCTAACCCAGAACCCCAAATTTCTTGTTAAGGTAAAGAAGTAATATGAATAAGCATGAATAAATTGAATAAACAATATTCAACATGGATGTTTTAATTAAATATAATGGATAATTCTTGTGTTAAGCAATATGCAACTCTGCCCACTTTGCAAACAAAAATCTCTGATGCGGTTGAGAACAACACTATTCTATAGGTATGGAGGTATGAATTTGGATAGTAGTTCAATACTGTCTGTTTATCATAATCAAAGGAGTGAGTTCACACCTAAGATCTATGAGCTCCCAGTCATAGGGTCTTGGACAGATACGTTCTTGAGTTTCCTCCTAACTAGTAGACCTTAAAACAAACTAGAAAATGGCCGATTATCCATGTAACATTTGTGACACTATTGCATACATGAGTGTGTCTTGCCTGCCTGATCATTAGTAGAACTTAAAGGGTTTACAGGTAAGTAAGACTGCTGATGACTTGTCTCTCCCATCAACCTGAATAGCATCTTTCAGTACTATGAGAGCAAGTCATCAGGAACAAAGCTTTCTGACCAGTATCAGTTTAAATTCCCCAAGTTCTGCATTCAAAGTGTGTGACATTTTCAGCAGTAAGATTTTACCAATAATATCTGGTAGATAACCAAAGGCAATGATCTCCATTAAAAAGTTCACACACAGAGAACTAGCCATTTTACTTGGTATCTGTGACTACTAGAAGAATTATTCCCATTGTAGGTTACTTCCAGTTAAACTCTTTAATCTGAATATGCTTATATAAATATTTACATGATTACACACACACACACACACACACACACACACACACACACACACACAAATATATATATATAATTCCAGGCTTCTACTTTTCTTTTTCAAACAACTTTAGTGTTAGTTATTTTTCCCAATCCACCTTGAGCCCTACTCTCCCACCCCTCCCCATTATTCTTCCTCATGTATAATCACTTATATTCTACTATTTGCCTCCCTTAAAGTATTTCTTCCCTCTTCACTACTAATGGTCTTTTCTAGTTCCCAAAACCAAATTAAAAATATTTATAGAAAACAAGAGCATGGTTGGACTGTATTAATGCTATTGCAATCCTTCCAAAATTTAATTTAATATAACTTCTTAAACTAATTCTATTTTTAAAAGATATGAGTTAGGAGTCATCATTAATTCGCTTTGCTAAAAGCAAGAACAAGCTACTGGGAATAGGAAGTAACAGAAGTTGTTTCGATGTATTCTTAGTGCATTTCTCAGAGGAACTCTTCCTAAGTAAGATAACAAAACACAGAAGAAGGCATGCCCACTGTCTTATTCTACTGTCTTCTGCTGAGATTAGACACTGATCAAAAACAAGGAATGAAAGAGTATTTGGGTTACAATCTATGGTCTATCATCAGAAAAGTCAAGTCAGGAACTTAAGACAAGAAATGAAGAGACCATGCCATGGAGGAATATTGCTTACATAATGCATTGCTTCCTTTGACTGGCTAGCATCCTTTCGTATAAAGGTCAGGCCCAACTGCTCAGGGACATCACCTTACACACTGGGCTCTACCTCCTACATCACCTTTAAATCAAGTAAATGCCACAAACATGGTCACATTTATAATATATGTACTTCATTGTAAGGATGTTGTTCTAATCTTGAGACCAAGGAAAAGAAGTAAATTATCAACTGAGACCTTCACCAAGATTTTATATAAAAATGACTTAGAAGGATTTTACATAAAAACTGGACAACACACAAAAAAATTTGGGAAAATATCAGTGGCTATCTTTAATTTTTAAATTTATTCAAGGCTGGCTGTTAAATCACTAATCAGTCGATACCCAAAAAATATTAATTATAAAATCATTTGACAATAGTAAACTCCAGGAAATATTATGAGTTGCAAAACTTTCTGATTCTATTCTATGGTAGAAAAAAGTTTATTCTACCAACCAATTTAATTCATAATTCTAACATAAGAAATAAGTGAAAATGTTACAAAATTTGGTAAAGAGTTATGAAAAATCTAACTCTGAGCTGTAGAACAGCTTGTAGACAGTGGAATTTTTGATACTTGTTTTGGAGGGTCTGTACTTGTTAAAGTGTCATACTCCCAGCAATAGCTGTGAAAATCAAGCTGTCTGGATCATATAATGTACAAATAGTTTTTGAACTCCCGTAAGACAGTGAACTGAGAATCAAATCAAGTAGCAGATTTGTTCAAGGAGTGAGGTCTCCCAGGTCTTGCCTGAAGTCAGTGTGCAAAATTCTCAGCTCCCGGAGGCTGCTCAGAGCTTTGTCTCAGTGTCACTGACACATGAACGCCATTTATAGTGAGAGTTTTGTTCTGCCTCAACTGTAAAGTTCAATTCATATTATGACACTCTAGTCCTGATACTCTTAAAAAAATCTTGGCATAACTGTTTTAAGCAAGGAGTATATCTTAAATAAAAAAAATCTGATGAACCATACTCAAATATTAAAATGAGAACAACAGAAAAAAAGTCAAGTAAAAGAATTCTCATGTTTGTCTTACTGTTTGTGAAATTCTTTTCAGTGACTTGTAATTGGGCATGTTTACTCTTCTAAATAAAATTATACCAAGATCTTTGGAATGAGTATTATCAATACTTCAAACCTTAATTAACTTGCCCTTTTATTCAAACACTGCAATGTTAACACAACTGCCTAGTAAGATACCAATTCACAAAATACAAAAGCATTCCATGTTGCTTTTTACAATGTTAAAGGTTATAATATAAATTAATTCACATTGTTATTATAAAAATAATTTGTTAGAGCTAGGGCTTCCTGTGCTTTGTTTGTATTTTAGACTTTGGAAATAGTTCAAGAATTTCATGGGCAGATAAAGGAGGTGTACTCCAAGAAGCAAAATCTCCACAGAATTGATCTCCTTTGTTCTTCCTTAAGCACCAGGTATAACTTAGACCTTGTGGTGTGTCATAAGAACCTGTTCTAATGCTAACAGGTGTCATTAACTTGCTTACCTAATTCTAAGTCCAATAAGGTAGCACACACTTTCAACATCAAAGAGAGTTCATAATATAACATTTTTCCTGCCTCTAGATTATTTCACCCAAATTTGGTTTCTTCTTTCTAATTCTGCCTTATGCTGGTGATCTTCTCTTCTACTTTTCTATACACTGAGCTTAATGTTATATATGAACTTGGTACTTAGTGGCTGCAAGTAGTCAAATGTTCCCTTGAAGCACTTTGGAGATATTCTGTCCAACACTGCCCTTTACTTATGCAGTCTGTTCTCTGGTGTTCTTTCTACTTGTCTAATCTTAGAGAGACTTTAGACCTCCAGTTAATTCTGCTTTCAGAGAACAGTTCCTCTAGATTACCATGTGTATATGTACCACCTGATACATGTGGTCCCTAACCTGTGTTTCTTTGGGGGGATGATGAAAGCTTTCACGGTTCTTGCATTGTTTTTGTCAGTCACATGGAGCCATGGCCTTGGACTCAAAGAACTTGACTCTATTCCTTGTTGTCTCTTTCACCCCCCATCTACTAAGATGTTAGTTGTGTTCCCTATAGTGTATCTCCATCATGATACACTGCTTGACCATGGACTGAAACCTTCTGAACTATGAACAAATAAACCTTTGCCTTTTGAAGTGGATTGAGTTAGATACTTTGGTACAAAAGAAGGCAACTAACAAACACTAATTTGCAAATTTTCTCTTAGGGCAAGTTTTGTGTTTATGTAAACTTGACAAATATAGTCACATGAGCATTTCAGCAGCTCGTGGTGTTCTTTCATGTACCTGTAAATCCACCTAGGAAAAATTGTTTGCCATTATTGACTTATTTATCCTTCCATCTTATGTCACATAAGTTTTCAGCATAGATTTTTCCCATATCTCACTTTTAAAATCAATATATTAAAAATAACTGTTTTTTTTTCACTCTGTCTTTCCCAGTTATTTCCTACGGCTCATATACTTCTTGTTTCAACTTAAGAGTCTTGGTCCTACTTGATGTCTACAGAAACTATATAGTATGTTTTCTTTTCATTTTATTGACTTTTCATTTCCAAAGTTTATGCCAGGAAAGTAATAAATATAGGAATAATTTTCTCAGTATAATGTTTCCATTATAAGACTTAAACCCGCTTCATCTGTAGCAAGTTAAATAGTAAATAGAGTATCTGTTTGATTGTATCAACTGAGAGAAAGACATCTTAACAAAATTATTAAAAATTTTTAAAACAAAGTTCTCCTTATTGTGGAAACTCCCAAGCAGATGGTTCCCAGAAGAAATGAAAGTCTGAAGTGGCAAGGAACAGGAAGAGATTATAGGAGACGCAATGTGTCTATGGCTCACAGACTGGGCTTTTTACACTGACATATTGACATGTTCTCGACACAAAATGACATACAAAACAGAAAATGATGCCTTAGATAAAACTGTTAGAGATAGGCAGGAAATATTACTCTCTTTTACAAAGATTTTTGTAGAATAAAATCTAACCTAAACAGTTATAGATGTTTTTGAGCTCCATTTCAGTGCATTGAGAGTTAGGTCTCCTACAAGCCAAGTAGATGGTCACAGGTCTAATGAAAGCACACGATTATGGGAAAACAATGGTTAGAAGCTCATTAGAGTTTCTCCTGGGTCCTAAGGCAGATCCTATATGTGCACACAAGATGCACAGATGCACGAGGGCAGATGGCATATCAAGCCACTTTGGATTGACAATATGGTAAGAGAACTTGCCACAAAGTGTCATGGTATGACTTTAATCCCTGGGATACATGTGGTGGAAGGAACTAGGTAAGGTTGTCTGACTACCATACACGTGGCAGTTTGTGTGTGTTTGTTATCACATACACACACACACACACACACACACACACACACACACCCCTCTGGTGCACACACCCTAATAATAACCTTTTTCTGTTTTTCTTTTTAAATAGAGGCTGAGGAGGG